TTATTAAAAACTTTGTTCTTGTAAAAAAATAAAACTTTGTTTCTGACTTGACTTCCTGTTTTAATATAACAATTAACTTTTCTTAAGAGAGGTTTTCTCCCGGAGAATTGCTTTGAGTGTAGGAATTAGAGAAGCTTTAATTTTATCATGTTGGGCTCGATTTTCTCTATGCAAGGCACTTTCGCAATTAAAATGTAAATAAATTTTTATAATGTCCCTTTCGCGAAAATGTTAACTATTTGTTACCTTTTGCTTTATTCATGTGATTACATCTTTGGAAAAAATCTTTACAGCGAACGCTAACCTGCCTGTCAAGGAAATCTATTTTAGTAGATGGCTAATGTGGTTTTGTCTTGCTCGTAAAATATGTTTTTTATTTATTTGGATATTCCATGTTGTGGAAAGGATGGACGGGGTGGTCTAACGGCAAATTTATAAAGCTAATGTGGAAAGAAACGCGGGGAGGTCGACCTCAGCATACATTATCTCAACTAGATTATAAAGCCAGATCATTTATTCTGCAATGAGTGAAAGAAAGAAAGCTTGATGCATTTGGAAGAAATGAAAGAGTTGAAAATAGAGTTACGTAGTCTCTCTCTGTCCGATTGAAAGCCAAGCTTGATGGTGTGGACATGTGGATATAATTTTTGCTATCTATGTAAACTTATTTATTACATATGTATACATATCAATTAACCAAACCATATCGGCATTACGTCGTAAATATAGAGACACGTAGTCGATACAGAACACATATAGATGCCATTACGCTCGACGTTTGATCGTTACCGAGAATTTATGTGTATGAAAATTCAATAAACGCTTTACCGTGTGGGTGGTAAAGGCTGTGATAGAGTCTGCTGCGTCACGGGCTCCACATGTGACGTTATGACATCTTTATACTATGAAGTCTATGAAAAGATGCTAAAAGTTATGATGACAGTGAAATATGTAGCTAATAGATTTTATTACTTTGTGTGTAGCCTTTAGGTTTTTCCACATTGCGGTCGCTGTAGATTTTAGATAATGCTTTTATTATGATATTTATCTTCTTACTATTTATTATCTGAAAGAATCTTTGTCCAATTTACCTACTATTTCCCCGTCATGATTTGTCTGTTTAACAAAATAGTGGGTTCACATATATACAGGAATTTGATTGACACTGAAATAAACGAACAGATAGGTCTGAATCAGCATAAATACTGTAGACCGTGAAAAGTCAAACAACACTGGTTTTCTGCCAGTGCCATATGGTGAGCGATCGCATCCCAGTAAGTCACGCCACCGAAGTGCATCACAAGCATATACATATACACATAACTCTAAAGTTATATGTATGTATATCAAGTATGGTAAATGCGGTTGAATGTGGTTAATGCTAATGTAAGTAAATACAAGTGATGTAAGTAATTGTTATCAATAAATATTGTAATAAATTATAATTCTAACATATCCAGCAAATATGGCCTAATATGTATCAGACCCCTCGATTAAGGAAATATGTATGAGAGCGAGACATATCAGGGGGTCGATTCAGAACCTTACGATAACTCAGTTGTCGATCGATTCGATTTGATATCGTACGATTTCTTTTCATTTTTATTCACAACACACGAATCGAACGTCAAACTGTCGTATTCGAAACCGATCCGAAATGACGTCACACCCGTACGATTACTCGAACTTCTCGACCGGCAATGGCTACAAACGTTATTCAGAAACGTTATTCACAGTTATCGAATGCAAGTAAACGAACGTCCTATTGTTTACAAGGCAAAAATGTAGTATGGAAATATCTTATTATTTTAAATGAAGTCTGGATTTTGTTCAATTTTATTAATTTATTTTAATGCATGACTAATGCATTCCTATATTTTAACCCTTTGAAATCTTAAAAATGTGTATAATAGAATTTTCATTTTTCTTATAATCTATTTCACCGACTAACTCCGTAAACGCTGTTGGATAACGATATCGTATCTGAATCCGAGTCGAACGCTTAACTCGAATGTTCTGAATAGGTCGGAAAGCGCCCTTCGATTCGAGAACGATATCAAATCGAACGATTCGGTTAAAATAGCGAAGAGTTCTGAATCTGGGTCCTGGTCAGGCAAAAGATGTCAATCGTTGCATAATAAGGGTTCTTAGAAGCCTCGTGGCCTAAGTAATGATACGAGATTTTAGACCTAATTATGTAATGATTGCATACAAGAATTTTTCCATGAGTAAATTAAAATAATGAAACACAACTAGTATTTCAAGATTATTCGTTAACAATCCACCATAATAAACTCAAGCGTTTACTAGAGCGTTTGCGTAGCGTCATTTTTATATTTTATATTGTTTTTTAAATGGTTATTTTTTCCCAAATGGTTACGCCTTTGTATTATTATGTAACATTATGAGAAAACATTTATAAAAATAATTAGAATTTTAATAATTTCACAAATATAGTGTCTTTATTCTGTTTAGGAGCAACGAGACGCGTTTAAGAAGGCTGATTTAATTAGCAAAAATACGACGTGCTTATTTTGAAACTCATTATAGACCTGTGTACAGAACTACCAGTATAATGAATTTTTCACCTCACTAGCTCGGAAAGGCTTTCTTTGTCATTGACTTACAATTGTTTGTCATTAGGAATCTGCGCGTAAAAGGGTTTTTGAAATTCGAACTTGACGATAGACTTTTCGATGAAAAAAACACCATAATGGCACGTTCAACTACGCGATTTGTCGTAATTTATTTATGTAATATAAATCCGTTGGTATATTTTATTCTCATTATTGTTGACATTAAATTGACTTTTTTTTATTATGTTTATTAAAACTGATTTGTTATAGTTCAACTGTTTTTCTTTCATCTACCATTTTCCTCGCTATAGTAAGGTGAAAAGTTATGTGTTTCGCTCGGCAGCAAATTTTTTTTGCGTCTCGTGCTTTGAAAATTTCGCTACGCTCAGGTTTCTATTCCTTCGCTTGCTTAGGTGTCAATACAAGCACTAGCATCAAACAACTACTTTGCAACCTTGCATTTTCATTTCAGTAGCAAGTACCTACCATAGACAATAGAATTTTGGTTTAGAACTAAAAAGTACGCCTTTGTCATATGGTTTATGAAATTATAATTGACAAGTTAAAGTACAGGAGTAGACAAAAACGTATTTTGTGTTTGATGACGCAATGGAGGAGAATAATAATTATTAACATATATTTTAAAAAAGCCATGGTAGCCAAAGGTTGGACCTACCGCCTCTCAAGCACTGTTCATAGTTCGAATCCAGACTCGCTCCTCTTGAGTTTTTCGGAATTTATGTGCGAAATTTAATTTGAAATTTACCATGAGTTTTTCGGTGAAGGAAAACATCGTGATGAAATTGCACGTCGAAGAAGATTCACAACTCTACAACTCGGAAAACGTGTGAAGTCCCTAATCCGCATTGGGCCAGAGTGGCGGACTATGGCCTAAAACCTTCGCCTGAGAGGAGACCCATGCCCAGCAGTGATACATACAAATGAGTTGATGATTATGATGATGAATAGTAATAATATCCATTAAGTAATATTTGTTATATTACTTAAAGCCGACATAATTATGTTGCCTATTTCCTATGAGCCTATTTCTGACCGGATGTAATATTCAACATAGACAATCATAAGAATGGACCTTTCAAACATTAACTCTAGTAAAGTTGCGGATAGACCTCGTTGTGAAAGAGTTCATCCAGGGAAGTACTGCCAACTTACCTGTTTTTGCCGCCAAGCCGTAATGTCAGCATTACTGTGTTCTGGGTTTGAAGGGTAAGGGTGCTGGTGAAATTACAGGCACATGGGACTTGACAACTTATGTCTCAGGGTGATGGGCCCAGTGGCAGGGCCCCTCAGATCTTTGCTCAGAATTAAGCTCTGAGTGGCACTGCAACTGTTATGGACAGGCATGTAGCTTACCATCAGGGGCACGACTTCTTAGTCAGTTGAATTATTATTTAAAAAAAACACGTGACAAAACAATTTCAAACTCCAAATGATTTATATCAATTCTCAGCATAACCGAGACAATCTTGTGTTAAACGAAATTGTTTGATTAAAAAACGTGACAATTAAAGCAAGATTCTTATGAATTTTCTCCCGTTACGCTTTCATTTCGAACAGCAAGATTTGCGCACGCGATCGTTTACCTGTCCTTTCGGTGTCGTGTTTTATAAATGATCATAGAATCATGAAATAGCACGTCGGCTATGAAACACTTATGCCTTTTTGTGTTTTGTATTTAAAAGGTACTTAAGCAACTTCGAAGATATTATCGATGTAACAACGATTACATTGAAAGGGCGTGTTAACGGTACAAAATTCTTATGTTGGCCTAAATTGATACAAGTTCAAGGAAAATCTTGATGAGTTTGTACACATAAAAAAACTCTATAGTCTACGTATTATATAATTTAGATGTCTCTGTTAGTTGTTAAATTGTTTTATAAATTGTAATTTTTAACCGACTTCGAAAAAGGAGAAGATTCTCAATTCGACTATTTTTTTGGTAGGTTTGTTACGCGATGACGATTTGTAGACCGATATTGATGATTCTTTTTTGTTGGAAAGAAGGTTGGAGGGACCAATACTGAGATACCCTCCTCAGTATTGACCCCATTTAAATTTGAAAAATTTTTTAAATTGTAAGATATATTCCACCTCTAAGGGTGGCAAACTAGGGGATGAATCCGGTTTCGCGCGCTTTCCAGTAACCGATTTCAATAAAACTGGCAAATAAATGTAATTCCATGAATTTTTGAGGTCGGTTTTTAGTACTCTGTACTGAGATTGTTCTTTGCTTAATTAATTTTACGGTACAGTAACTTTTGTTTATTGTTATGAAAATTAGGCATTTACATAAAATTATTATGTAAATATATTTCTAAAAGTTGAAAATTTACCTTGTTTGTTTATTTTCTTATACTATGTCTATATACTCTTGATATTAAAAAAAAACACGAATAAGAGACTATCGACGACGTATAAGAAAAGCATTTAATCAAACTTTATAGCCTTACACTAATAAATGCAGTTTTCAGAAAACCATATTTACAAAATATTTAGTATATATTAATCACAGTGTTTTGTTAATCATACATAAATTGGTGGTAAGTAGCTCTTCATTGATGGACCAGCTCGGCCTAGTGGAGGTAAACTCGGAGCTTTTAAAGGCGGTGGAGATAATTCTGTCTTCAATTGAGTACTACTATTATATCTGTTCATATTGTTATTTCGATGTAGAACTTTATAGTTCTTTATGTTCCCTCTAACTTCTTGTTCATGATTCAACGTTCTAAAATTATTTGGCTTTTCTTCTTGGTCAAAATGTAACGTTTCTAAATTGCTTTGTTTTTGTTCCTGTTCATAATTTAAGTTTCTGATGTTACTGACAGCTTTTTCTTCAGGAACTTTGATACTACTTTCGTCATTTTCTTGTTGAATGGGTATGAATCTTATTTCATTTCTGTGGTCATAATGGTTACTTGAAGTTTTGGATTTAGGTTTCATTTTGCTTGATTCGAATTGATTTTTCATTGCGACGTAATTTAAAATGTCAGCTATATCTATTGGTTTCTTTTTAAATACCTTTATTTCATTTGTTGGTTTTGGGTGGTACAATGGAACTAGTTTAGTAACTTTATCTGTTTTGTGTTCTGCTTCTAATTTAGTATGAGCTTCGATGTTGTTGTGATCGTCCGCAAAATTATACACGACGTTCTTAGATTCCTCCGCAACTTTGTATTCATCCTTTATTTCTGAATCTTTATATTCTTCTATACTTCGTATTTCCGGAATATTATTATTAATTTGGTTTTCTGGAATCTTTGTTTCTTGACTTACTTCTTTAATCTTACTTTCGGGTTTTTCAGATTTAAATAAATTTTTCAAAAAAATATTGTTTTCGATGATATTTTCAACGCTTTTTGTGGTCGTAGTTTCTAGTCGACGCGGTGCCTCAGTGGTAGTAGTGGTAATAGGCCAAAAATCACTGTTGCTTTGCTGTACAATGAAATCAGTAAGCTTAATACCGGCTACAGTACTGACATGTTGTGGCTCCTGTATAGTTGTAGTTTTGACTTCATTTGCAATAAGATTAGCCCATGGACTGGAAGTTGAAACTCCTTTTTCAAAAGAAGTTTTAGACACATTTTCAGGCACATTTGATTCAAACTTCTCAAAAGAATCAGCGCTAAGTGTTCGGAGTTTCCTCGGTTCATAATAAATGTCTTCAAAATTGTACGATTGGGTTACGATTTGACTCGGAACATTGGGAGTCAAGAAATGTTTTTGTGTTATTAGAGCTGCAGGACGGGGATCTCGATTTTCAATAGGTTTCACTGTTGTTGGGAATGGTGGAATTTGATTTAAATTGTAATTTTGTTTGAACCAATCTTCTGATTGCAAAAAAGTAGTCTGTTCAACTTTTTCCGTCGAAAGAGACAGCGGTTTATTTTCTGCAGTCATTGTATAACTATTACTTTTAATATTTTGATTCTCTAATGCTTTTTGTGTACTAGTTTGTTCATTTCGATAGTAATTAAGAAAGTTATGATTACGATTATTGTCAGTCTGTTGACTTGGAATATATTGTTGTACGACGACGTTTTCTGGATTTGATTCTAATTGTGATCGAATCATTTTCGTATACTGATCTGGAGTCATGTCACTGAAATTGACTATTACATCATCGTCTTCACCAAATGATCTGGAGATAGTTTGTTTATTTGTGTTCGGGTTTAAATTGTTTGCATTAATACCATATTGCCACCTCCATAATCCCTTATTAGCTTCTTGGTCAGTCTCTTTAACTCTCGCCTCATAGTTAACTAATTGGGGCATAATAGGTTTCTCTGTTGTAAACATTCGCGATATTGTATCTTGAATAGAGTTTGCAGAGGGAACGTGCGCACCTTGTGAAGCCAGGAAAGTTATTTGCGGTGATATTGCCCCACTGCTTGGTTTGGCCTTTGCTTGTTCAGTTGTGTAGTCAACTGTTTTGATTGGAGCTTGGGTACTTGCTGAAGTAATTAAATTATTTTGTGTGTTTGTTCCTTGGGAGTAACTATATGAAAAGGCTTCTGGGGTTCTTCCTGTAAACAAGTTGCGTGTTGGCGGCATTGCAAAATTATTGTTTATTTCGCTTTCTCTTATTTCGTTATCTCTTCCATCATCTTGCCAGGATTTGAGGTGTGGTGGTCTTTTTGCTTCTTCAGCTAAATTGTACTGAACGGCTCTAGTGAAATAAAATATCACGATATGATTTTTAATCACTACAAAATTAAGAAAACTATTTCAAAAAAATAATTATCTTACCTTTGGATAATCTCTGGAACCGGTGGAGCTACCGGCAAATGGTCACCACTAGCCCGGAATCCATTCGCATCAGCAATGTAATGAACAGTAAAGGTTTGGCCATTGTCGCCGACGTATGAATAAGATCCTTCAACAACTTGTTCTTCCTTGTCAGTCCCCATGTTTTCCATGCGACTGTGTTGCACATAATGAGTTTGATCAGCTCCTAAAGCTCTGAAATAAATAATTTATTATATGACTTATACAATGAAATATAGTTGAAGTAATATTAAGTTAAAGAAATACTAACTCATAACTAAAACTCCCATCCAAATCCATTTCATTGGATAAACGAAGTATAGGTATTGCTGGTTCCGTTGTCGACGGTGGTATATATAGGCCTGAAGATTGAATAAACGGTGATCCATGAAATGATGCTGCTTTAATTTGGTCAAGGCCCAAATCTGTTCTTTGATTTTCAGTTGATATTATCATGCGTCTCGCAGCTGGTCTTTCGGTTGCTGATGCCGGAGTTGAAGAAGGAGGAAATTTTAAATTTGGCATACTCGGAAGTTTCATATCTATTCTATCCATAGCTTGATGAGAAGGTAGTGGTTGTAAAGTTCTCATTTCTCTCATTTCCGCCTTCTCTTTAACAGGTCCAGGATCCCTTTGTGTTGTGAGATTCATTTTAGGAAGATTTTGAGGTTTTGGAGTTGACATTCGTATCATGTTATGATTTCTACTATCATTATCGTCTTCATCTTCGAAATTTGGAACAAGTGTCGTCGATATTACGAAAGGAAAAGGCGACGGATAATTAACTGGTGCTTTAGTACCAATTGGTGGTAAGTATGGATATTGGAGGTTTGGATTTTTCATTGTAAAATATGGAATCGTTGGTTGGGATTCTGGAGGTAAGTAAAGGGTGTTGTCGGAGGCAAAAACACCTGCACCCGGTGCTTGGAATTGTGGTGGAAATGGAAACTGTTCCTGTCTAAACTTTTGAGCTATGACATCCACTGCCAAGCTTGTTAACAAAATTGTAAGTGGTATCTGAAACCAATAATAGGGTTTTAATTAACTTACGGTTTAAAGGGCATTCCATGGGTCAAATCCTTTCACTTTTTGTTATGTTAATCATGCACACTTCGTTATCACTTTCTCACTTACCAGCTTCATTTTTGCTGAAGCTGTTATTGTTTTCGTTTGTTGTAAAATTGTTATACGTCACACTTTAACAGTAGTAGAAAATAGACTGATAATGAAAATGAATTCCGCATATATTTATATGCACGCGAGATGTTCGTGGCCAGGCATTCGTGACAGATATCGCTCGGTTTTTAAACTAGGTTTCTCTCTTCGCTACACTGTTTTTACTTTACACCGATCCGCGATAATAATTATATACGGTTCGTAAAACTGTCATAATTATTAGTTCAGTCACAGTAAAAGTAGTAAGAGCGATCTTTGCGTATTAATAACATTTACAACTCCGTTCTCTGATTTACAATATGTGGATATAAATAGTTTTTAATAGAAATAGCTTTTCAATCATTCTTGAATATTCCATTGGAAATCACATTTAGTAGCAATAGAGCTCCTTGTGAAAGAGTTAGTCCAGGGAAGTATTGCCACCTTACCTATTTCTGCCGCCAAGTAGTAATGTCAACATTACTGTATTCCGGTTTTGAAGGGTAAGGGTGCTGGTGAAATTACAAGCACATGGGACTTGTCAACTTACGTCTCAGGGTGACGGGCGCAGAGGGAGTGCCCCTCAGATCTTTGGGTTTAAAGCTCTGAGTGGTAACGCAACTGTTATGGACAGGCGTGTAGCTTACTATCAGGTGCACGACCTGTTCGTTCCGTCACTTGATATTATAAAAAATATTAGATTGTTGAAGTAATTCGGGGAAAAATATTATTTGAAATTTAATAAAACATTATTAATCGCAAACACTGTGATTCAAAGAAAATATTTAAAAATGAAAGCACTGATTTATTGCGTAAAGAATAAATGAAGTTTAATTATTTTTTACCGATCCAAATGGTCATCGGTTGATATATAGCCGATGAAAACAAAAAGGCGATGAGTGCAGCATAAAGCTTTCTGTATTACACCAGTGAACAAAGGAACAAAAACGTACCGTCCATCAGTTCGCATCCGTCAGTTGGTCAGATATACTGCCCTCATTATCATAACTAATGTAATCGACATTTTTAGCGAAATTGAGTTATTAACATGTCTGGAATCTGCGAAACCAGATCTACAACCCTCTCTAATCGGTCGTTTAACATCTAGTTTAATTTAAGTTTTCATGTTAAGTAAAAAATCAGCGTATTTGATATTTTTTTAGGTGACAATAAAACTTTAGATGCCAATATCTCGAAAGTTAGCGAAATGCAAATGCGTATTTTTTTTATAATACTAAGTAAGGGGACGAACAAAATCGTGTGTCTGGTGGTAAGCGATATGCCTATCCCGAACAGTTGCAGTGCCACTCAGAGCTTTAAATCACAAAGATCTGAGGGGCATTATCACTGCGCCTGACACCCTAAGACATAAGTTGACAAGTCCCTGTGCCTGTAATTTTACCAGAACCCTTACGCTTCGAAACCGGAACGCAGTAATGCTCACATTACTGCTTGGCGGCGGAAATAGGTAAGATGGCAGTATTTTCTTGGACGAACTCTTTCACAAGGAGCTGTACTACTATGCAGTAGGTCGTACATTTTTTCGTTAACAAATTCTCAAAATATGGCCACCCAACTGAACAGTGATGTAACGCATGTAACCAGTGTCATTGACCCTACAACTGGTTTTTATCTGTCGTAGCCAGTTACCAAATATGTAAATAAAAAGGGTGTTGCCAAAATCAGTATCAATTTAATTAATCAGTCTTTTATGAGAACACCGCTTATGTTCAACGTAATTGAATGGGAATGGAATTAGATTTAATTGGATGCTATACAACTTTGAATTACAAAAAAATCTAATTTATCGTTTAAATGGAATCTTCCGTTTTCTGTAGAATGCGCTAACAAGTCACTCCTTGACCCAGAAACGGTTGTCTAACGTCAAATTGACTTCTGACGTAAATTTTCGCGTATTTTTTTGATACTAATTGACGGGACGAACCAGTTGTGCGCCTGGTTTTAAGCGACACGCTTGTCCATGGCAGATGCAGTGCCGCTCAGAGCTTTAAACTGCAAAGATACGAGGGGCATTGTCACTGTACTCGTCACCATGAGATATAAGTTGACAAGTCCCATCTGCCTGTAATTTCACCAGCATCCTTACCCTTCAAAACCGCAACACAGTAATGCTTACATTATTGCTTGGCTGCAGAAATAAGTAATTTGGCAGTACTATCCTGAACGAACTCTTTCAAATGGAGTTCTACCACTACTAAAAACGTGTTGTCAGTAACTTGTCGCTTGTTCTATCATAACAAGGACAAGATACTAATATATGAATAGGCTGGATGGTGGAACCTTTATTTACCAAAAAAATAAAACAAAAAGTATTAATTTCTTCGTTCTTTAAATTGTCAGAACACGAGCAGGATGTGGATGTTTTTTTTAGTTTATATTAATAGTAAAATTATGTAAAACAATAAATTTAATTAAAGGTGTTACTGTCAAATTGTAAAATGGTGTAATTTTATTTGACATTCGCTTATATTTAATAAAAATGAATAACAACAAATCAATAAGTTAAATTATCATTGTAAAATAGTTGCAAATACAATTGTAAAATAAGATTAAAGTTAGGTATAAATATCTTCTGATTAATTAACTAAATGTGGATAAAATGGATGTGAATGTTCACCTGTCAGCAGGTATTTGAACTTCGATACCAATTAAGAAATAAATAAATCAGTTAATCTATCCTAAACTTAAGATATCTTTCTATTAAGATTAAGATTTCTTCTAATATAAAGTTAAGATATCCTTAATAAACAAGTTGCCTTAATAGGTAAATTGCATAACCATGGTTCAGTGGCGCATTTTCGTCGTTTTTGCATTCTTCCTATCTGAGGTTGCCGTTCTTGTATAGATATTAAAACTAGGTCAAATACTGAATTTTATTTCGATGAAAGTGGAAAGCGTTGAAGCCTGAAAATATGCGGCTGAAATTGAGTGTGTTTTGATTGCAGATTTACTGAGATTGTAAATATGACTCCTAAGGGATGATTATAATCGAACTTTCTTTTTCGAAAGCCTACGTGACAAGCGAAATAAATACATATTTTACTAAATAAGAAAACCTAAAATGGAAGCAATGTAGGTAAACTTCGTCAGCAAGGCATGGTGTGCAAAGTATGGTCTTGATAAAACATAACCAACATAATGTCTCAAATTTTATCAATTTGTCTTATAGAGTTCGATTTATAGAAATCTTGGTTCTTGGAAGCGAAAAAGGTTTGTCTGGAGCGTAGCGAAGTTCCGTGCCTACCCTTATAAAAGATAGGCATAGATAGAGACCGTACGTTGCGAAACGAGGGAAAACAAAAATCCATGGCCCACTGTACCAAATTCGCAACGAGAAATCTGCGGGTAATAGTTCCCCGATTTTATTCCCGACCATTGTCATAAACAACGGATATGTATTTTGGTAATATTCGAGAAATTGGTACCTTAAATTTCTTTTCTTTGAAAAATAATTACGCGTAATTGTTTAGCTGATTTTTCTTAATAAAACTGAAGCTCAATTACTTTAAAAAAACCGGTTGTTATACGTTTTGCTGATTCCAGATTTGTTAATAACTTTATTTCGCTAAAATGATTACGTTGTTTATGATAAGGATGGCAGATATTATCCCTTGACATCATGTCACCCTTCCCTAGACGATATGTTTAAAATTGTAATATTGTGGCATTGATAATATGAAATATATTATTTTATTTTATTGTAGTCTGTATGTATGTTGACCCTTTCTATGTTTTTGTCGAATCTAAACGTCAAACATATCTATTTTTAACATTTTATAGCCATTAAGATCCGTTAGGGCCATATGGGTTTTGTTAATTTATTTTATATTTGTTTGTTAGTCGCTTTGGGATAATTTTTCTAAGAAAGATACATTTATCTTTTTTCTCCGCTTCAATTAAAATGAGAATCCTAATTTGGAAGACTGTGATTATAGACTTGAATTGTGTTCGGTACACCGTTGGAAATTGCTAGTTGCAGTTTGAACCATTTACTTATCAAACACAATAGAAAATAGAATATATAACAATATATATAGTAATCCTTGTGTTCTGTGTCATACCTGCCTTGTTGACTCATTTGGTTTTCTAAACACAATCAGATCCATCTGTACAAATTTATTCTTAATAAAATTTAATTTACAATTAATGAACAAAATATTTAAACTAGACAATATTCCTAATCACTTGTCCGCTCTGTTTCTATACAACATGGGGAAAAAAAGAGGAAAAAAAAAAACTGTTTATCTTACTTAAACTAAAATTCTTCCCGTTTTTCTCGTGAGAATTTGTCACTGTATTGACATCGAGACAGGACTTACATTACATTTTGTCGCTCTAATAATTTGCTTTTCATGTGCATTTTAAGCAATGATATGAGCAATCTAAACGTTTTTCGGAATCTTGAGTAATTTACATTTTAAGATTTTCGTGGTCAATCACTAAACGAGTAGTAACACTTGTTACAGGTGTCTTATCTGCCTGAGTCAAGTGACCATAGAGCGTGTAATCGCTCTGGGGTAAATAAGAAACAATTACGTGTGAGCGACCGTTAGAAATGATAAAAATAAAAAATGAAACTATTTTGTCAAATCCAAATCTCGTATATTTGTTTCGCTGACTGCGAGCCGTGATCATGGGATGTGTAAAAGGCCCAAATCGTTGGTGGAAAAAACAAATATACACGATGTAAATCCGACAAAATGGTTTCACTTCTTATGTGTAACAGTAGCGAAGACTTAAGAACTCGATAAAAAAAAAGAGATCTGGGGGACTTGAAGTGGAACTTCAGAGATCCAGGTAAATGTTTTTGTACAATGCTTTAAATAAATTTAATTTTTTTTTATAGGTACGTGTAAATTCTTCACAAAGCATCGACCTAACTTTGCAATTTAAAAGGTAAGCAAGTAAAACAAAATATTCTATAAAAAAAGTCATATTTATTATGAGTACATCACATTTTATCGATCATAAATCTCAATCACAGCGATTTAGATCACAATTTCGCTCGTGATCCAAATCATTGCCTTTCAATCCGTAATTTCATAGGTATAAACTAATATTACACAAATCCTTTGCAGCTAAAGAAATAGTTAACATTTAATTATCTAGAATAATTATCGACACTGTAACTGTAAAGTGAATTTGGCTGTACAATTTATACAATATTTTGTATCAGAGCTGTGAATTAAGTACAATCTTTTTTAAACAAGCCTTCCTTACTGTCATATAAAAAAGACGTATAAAGTTCTCAAGTATTTTTACATAATCTTTTTTACATTACAATAAAGTAAAAATTGCACTTACGGCTATCTTTCAATATTGAATTTGTCAATTTGTACCTTAATTTTTGTAAAGAAACATGGTGGTACGAATACTATGCTCTGTTTCTGCGCTTACGTAATTAGTGTAGCGCATTATTTGAAAAAAATAATTGTCAAATTTTTCTGTTATACCACTAAGCCTAAATAATACCTTAGAGGAAGAGAAACTGAGTTAAAATTTGCAATTTCTAAAATTGCATTCTGTACAGCTTAACTTGTATGAAACAATTTTCTTGAATGCTTTTCCTTGAATTGGCATGCAATTTGAGACTTGTATCTTTTATATCTTACATAATTTCAATGGCAATTGCAAGATCACTTCAGTACGAGTTTCTTCAAAGTCTTTTTTAAATTTTTACTTGCCATAGTTCTGAGGGTAAGATTGTGGTGGGTATGTAGGTTGGGGTTGGGGATAAGTTTGCTGCTGATTTTTCTCAGCTTCGGCTTTTGCTTGTTCGTCTTTGGCAATCTGGTCCTGGGCGCTGAAAAAGATGAAATATCGTTTTAAAATAAGTAGATGCAAATGTCGGTACTGCAACTTCCTGTAAACAACAAATAAAACAAAATACGTACTTGGTCCAAATGTACGAGTTTCATATACATATATACATTATTAAAATTATACATTTATTAAAAACAAATTCAAAGATTCAAATTTAAATTTAATGATTAATGTTTGTATAAATAAGTGATTTCAATTTTACGAAATAGTTTATTTATCTTTTATGATTTTTAAAAATAATATCTAGTGACGGGACGATCCACTCGTGCGCCTGATGGTAAGCTACTCCTATCCATAACAGTTCCAGTGTCACTCAGAGCTTTAAATCACAAAGATCTGAGGAGCACTGCCACTGCGCCCGTCACCCTGAGACATTAGTTGACAAGTCCCATGTATCTGTAATTTCATCAGCACTCTTACCCTTCAAAACCGGAACACAGTAATGCTCGCATTACGGCTTGGCCGTAGAAATAGGGAAGATGGCGGTACTACCCTGGACGAACTCTTTCACAAGGAGCGCTACGGGTACTAAAATTTAAAATGATATTTTGAAAGCTTTGATATGGTCAGAATAGAGCAAATTAATGAACCAAATAATAAAAAAAAATCTCAAGAAATGTCTCGAAAAACGTACTTGTTATTACAATTGCTATGGCAACGGTACTGAGGGGGCGAGGACGGGGTTCCGTTAGATGTAGTTGGAGGGGAGGCAATGCTCACAATGCTGATCGTGTTGTAAGCATAAATTTAATGTTTTTTTAAATATTTATTGTGCCCGACAACCACACCAACTACCTGTCCTCTGCACGATGAGTGCTAGAGCAAAGAAATTACCTCCAGTGGCATTACATAGAACATACACACCAAACTCAATTTACAAAAGTTCTTTTCCCTAGTTGGTCCTACCGGGAAACGAACCCGAAATGTTCTGATCCAGAACCCAGAGTGTAAACCGTTCGGTCACCAAGGTCGTTGAAGCATAAGATTTTAAATCCCAAAAAATGTTTAATAGTGTAACATTCAGATCTAATCTAACCTAATCTGCAATGCTTGTCAGATCTAACAAATTTTTGTTACATGTAAAACAAGATTAAGTTAATTTAAAGACTAGAAAATTAAGTCTCGAACAAATATTGCTACTGGAATTATATTTTTGCAATCTGATCAATAGATTATGGACAATTTATTCATAACCACAAATCGAATTTGTCAAAAACTAAATTGGGCAACTAAATAATGGAGAGCTTCTGTCAACATAGTCTTTGTCATTGTCTCGTTAGCATTTAAAAGTGTGTTTTGTTAAACTGAACCTCTTATTTTATTCTAAATGTAGGATTTAAAAAAATACGGTTAGAACAGGTTACATTTGTTTGTTTTTTTATGTTTGAGAATACATTGTTACAACAAAAAGTGACGTCACTCGTTTGGACTATGTACGAGTGTCTACTTAACCATAATTAAGTTGTACAACCTGTCACTTTCCAAACTTCTTCTTCTTCTATGTAAATGACTTAAATGTAATATTGATTTTATTGATAACACGATGTTTTATTGCGGTTGATATTCATCGTCGTTGATATTAATTTATTCTTCGTGAAACTACTCCATTAGTTAGTATAATTATCAATACAAAGATTGAATACAAAGAAAAATTCCTTGGGTCTGACAGGAATCGAACCTGTGTCTGTATGTCAATCCAGGGCAACCACTCTACACACAATTAAGCTTCAGATCGAATCAGCAGACCTTACGGATGTGTTTCTCACACTTTTTTTTTCGGTTTTGACGGCTTATTTCTGTATCGCTACCTGTGAGAAATCTATGAAACTTTTTTTTCACACAGCCAGATACCTTTACAGCTGACTTAAAGGTAACATTTTCAATAAAGATTTTTGACACGATACTTTAGGTGTTACACACTGCTTATACAATTTAAAGAGTTAACTTACTCAAAAGAAGGAATATTTAGAACGATTGTATGTAAATAATTTTTAAATCATTCTAAATATTCCTTCTTTCACGTAATTCGCTTCAACCCTTGATCTATGTAGAAAAGTTTAATTGATATTAAGAACAAATCCATAGACATTATTTTAAACAAAACATATTGTTACACCGAGGTTTAAGGTATCATAAATATTAATTAATTATTAGTTAATTTTACATATAAAATATCTGTTAATTTGAGAGTTCAACAACAAAGGTAATCAAGATAATAAAGTATTTTCCTTAATAGAGCCTTACGATGTTTTATTTTTTAAAGGAAGTACATAGGTTATGTTGTACCATTATGTTATTATTCTTTTTCCTTATTTCTCCAAGTGCCGGGGCGTGTTAGTGAGTGAATTATGAGCACAACTTGTTTGTAGAACGTGTGTTGCTATAGCCGATGTCTTTACGAAAATGGGGAACGTTAAATGTGAGGGAAACGCGAGGAGGTCGAGATTATTGTAACAAAATTTAATAGGTAATCTAATAATTAAACGTCAAAAATTTGCCACTACCCTTCTACTCGTACTAATTTTAACAAAGGTTCGTTTATTTTAACTTTGTAAACTTCCTAGGTTGTCAAACTTTGAAAAAAGTGTTGTCTTTTACCAACAAAAATCATAAAGGTAAAGTAACACAATGGCAATATTTTAAGACCTCTTATAAACCATATTTAGCTAAACGAACAAAAATACAAATTATATATGATTTTAACAATGGTTCTTTATTTACGTATGTAAATTGACTAGTTTGTTAACCGTACATTTTTTTTATTGTACCCAAAAAATATCAAAACAAATAACTTGTGAAAGGAATGGCAATAACTTAAGACCCTTTTAGATTCCGCTTTTAAATAATTTACAACAAAGACAGTAAATTTTTCTGCTGTCTCTTACTTCATATGCGATGAACACCTAATATGGCACCCTTGGTGTAATAAGGTCATATTTGAGAAATGACAACTTTTCAGGAAGGGGGTTTAAAGATTCTACGACTAAAATTAGATCACTTTTTATGCTTCAATAGGAGAGTTATAAAATTTCACCAAGTAATTCGTTTCATATAGTTCGTATTATTTTTATGAGTTTCATATAATGAAAGCGCTTTTACCTTGACATCACATGAGGTATTGTACCAAGGCAGCTATATATGTATTTGTTTGTTATAATTATATTTAACTAAATACTTACGCCTGAATCGCAGGAGGAATAGGTGGCGGAGTGGGTAGATGGTCACCATAAGCATAATACCCGCTATCACCAGCCCAATACGTAGTAGTGTACTTCTTTCCGTCAGCACCAATGTACGAGTACCAGCCTTTCTTCACCAAGCTCGCATACTTCGTGTTAGGGTTTACGATGTATCCTTCCTCGCCTACCCACGTACCGTCAGACAGTTGGTACCTTTAATAAAAGTGTCAATATTAATTAACGATTCGATAATACGCACTATATTCTTGTTTGTGGAAGTGACTTTTTGTGACGAAATGGTACATATCATAATGAACTTTATTTCAATTGTTAACGTGCAAATTAGATACGATAAGGTAGTTGCGAGAATTCCCGAGACTGTACGAGAATTCTCCGGAAGACGTGCGACCTGTTTTTTGACTCGTATCTAGTTTGTACACTATTGACATAAAGTTCATTCTGCTATGGTTATAATAAATTCGCTTCTATTCCATTCCGAAGTAATGTAAATTGAACCTTAAGGGTGCATTGGTATTACATATTAAAGCTTTAATAAGTTGTCCTTGTTGGTCGGCTATATCATGTCTTAATTTTTTGTTTGGAAAAAACTATGTACACTTTTTAAGGACTCAATGTATATTGTTTATTTATTTTAAAAAAAAGGACTAATACATTGGGCGTGTCACACGCCAATCCATCAAAGTCATATTCTTTGAGTTTGACAAGTCATTCATTGGTATTTTCAAACATTTTTCTACGTAATTTATATTTATTTGTGTCGACGATTTCTTTTTGAACGTTAACTTTGAATTATACCCAAATGAATCCACACGGAAATTTATTCGAGTGGTTGCGTTTGGCAATAGCGTATTTCATTTAATTTTATGCATAATTTGTCACAGGGCTTTACATTTTCATTATGACAATTTTTTAAGACAGATTTTTTAAGGCAAAGTTATGACATTGATTGGTACTGCAAGCTGTGCTTTTATATACATACTATCTGCTCGTCGTCAATGCTCGGATATAGTTTCTTGTTTCAGCTTTTTTTAGGATACCAAGTGACGGGACTAACAAGTCGTGCGGCTGATGATAAGCGACACGCCTGTCCGTAGCAGTTGCAGTGTCGCTCAGAGCTTCAAATCGCAAAGATCTGAAAGGCACTGCCACTGTGCCAGTTACCCTGAGACAACACCAGCAACTTTACTCTTCAAAACCGAAACGCGGTCATGTTCACATTACTGTTTGGCGTTTAGAAATAGGCTGTACTTCCATCGACAAACTTTTTCATAAAGAGCTCTACGGCTACTAAACTGAACTATTAACTTTGTTATATTAAATCATACTATGCTAATTAGAAATATTCATAATGTCACAGAAAGATACTCGTACATGATTATCATAGAATCTTGGACCCTTAATATGTTAATATTCAAAGTATTTATAATTTATATAGCAATTAACAAAACTCTAATCATCATATATATTGTATAACACATAATTTCTTTTTAAAATACCTGTGTGACAGCTTGCAATATGTTTTCCAACACTCGTGACTTTTTATATCTATTATTAGGCAATAAATAATAGATATTGCCTGTGAATTTTAAAGTTATTAAGTCTAAAATCTACTTCTTTTTATTCTAAATGTATTCGCTTCCATGCTCGACAAAAAGGTTCAAATAAAACAGATATTGGGTATTCTGTATCACTGTAAGCCTTTTACTAAATCCTGTTTGGATATCCGTGTCTTCGTATTTTTACTTTTTCTCTTTTGGGAATTTTTCAAATATATTTGCAGAGCCGTTACTTAAGGATATTTTTAAACATATTCTGTGTTATGTACAGTTAAATTGCTAATAAACAGTCATTCACGTCATCAAAATTGTACACAATTCTTTGTTACCGTTAGGTGTTTCGTTTTTGATGGACATAATTTACATAGTTTTTCCATTTTAATGTCTTTTAGTTGTTAGATTCGTGAGACAGTTTGTTTGAACTTTATTGACTTTTAGATATATTCAAGTTAACCTTTGTTAATCGGCCTCCAACTGATTTAATTTGAATGTTTAATGAAACATTGATAAATCGAGTTCTTTAAAAAAAGGAAGAAAACTCAATTCTCATGGGCTTCACTTCAAATGAAATACTTTGAAAGGCAAATATACTCTCAAATCGTTTAAATGGAAATTTCAATGATTTTGAAAATAAGTTTGTTTTAAAAACAAAGTAAACAATTTAACGTTTTCAAAAATGGTATAATACCGAAATTATTTTATATACTGTAGACGTAACTTAATTAAAATTTTACAGTTCAATTATTTACTTTATGTGAATGAGGAAAAAATGTAGTAGTTTTGAATTAAACTAGAAATAGAACAAACTGGAAAGCTTTACTTCTTAGGTTTAACGCACATACTCATAGCCCCGCATTAGGGAAACCGTATATCGCGGGTTCCATGGACACACACGTAGACAACCACAAATTACACCCAAACTTACGAGAGAAAGAAATGTAGAACGTACAAATATTTTTCTCGGCCCGGGAATCAAACCCGGGACCTCTGCGACCAGAATGGTAACCGTTCGGCCACGGAGGCAGCTCTATGAAATCTTTTTTGTCAGATCTAAATCGCGTATATTTGTTTTTTCAAACAAACCAATCAACGTTTACTGCCTCTAAAACTCTAAAACAACTGCCTCCGTGGCCGAACGGTTACCATGCCCGACTGCCATGCAAAGGTCCTGGGTTCGATTCCCAGGCCGGGAGAAATATGTGTATGGCCTACACTTATTTCTCTCGTGAGTTTGGGTGTAATGTGTGGTTGTCTATGTGTGTGTCCATGGCACCCGCGACAAAGGGTTTCCCTAGTGCGGTGCTATGTTGAGTGTGTGCGTTATTATTATTATTATTAACGTTTAGACTTTTACAGGTCCCAAGGTCAGCCGTGAACCGTTTGTTTGAAAAAAACAAATATACGCCATTTTGGTTCCGAAAATAGTCTTATTTTCAAGATTGCAGATTGTTACAGATTTTCTTCTATTGGAATTGTACTTACTCGTATCTGTAGCTTCCATTGTCACCGAAGAATAAATCGTTCTTGATAACTGAGTTTGGGGTGGTTGTTGTCCAGGTATTTTGAGGATAGTAGTCGTTTTGGGGAGCCGTAGGGTTTTGAGGGTTGTAATTGTTTTGAGGTGGATTGTAGTTATTTTGAGGTGGATTGTAATTGTTTTGAGGAGGAATGTAATTATTTTGAGGAGGATTATAATTATTTTGAGGAGGATTGTAATTATTTTGAGGAGGATTGTAATTATTTTGAGGAGGTGTAGGATTTTGAGGAGCTACTGGTTTGTAGTCTGACTGAGGTGGGTTGTAGTTGTTTTGAGGAGGTACTGGGTTATAATTAGGAGATTCAGTTGTCGCTACAACTGGAGCGTCGTTTTGAGGAATGAAATTTTGATTTGGGAAGTTGGGGAAGTATCCACCTGATGGAGGAGTTGGCACGTAGCTGCCGGGAGTAGAAGTGGGGAAGTAGTTTCCAGGAGAAAAAGTGGACCCAGATGGGAAATTGTTTATTGGAGCATAATTGCCTGGAGACAGAGTGGAGCCAGATGGGAAGTAGTTGTTTTGAGGAGGGTAAGGGATGTAGTTACCCTGAGAAGGATTAATTGGAAAATTAGAGGGTATGTATTGGTTCTGGTTAAATTGATTTGGGCCCCATTGTCTAGGCGGTCTTTGGCTCGGTGGTACTGAGTTATAAGTACTAGCCGCTCTTTCTAAGATCTCGACAGGCTCCCTGCTCGTTTTCAGTAGTTCAACGGATGCCGCGGCTTCTAAATCTTCAATAGGTTCTTCAACTTGAACAGCCTTTTTTCCTTTGACTTCTTCCGACAGCGAAACAGCCAACAAGGCGGCGAATATGCAAAGCTAGAAATAAAGAAACGTTAATTAATATTTAAGTGGAATTTACATTTAGTGTAATTATTATATTTATACATTAATTAGTGATTTATATTTGAAGCTCAGCTAACTCTTTTCCATTTAAATGTGGAATAATATATTTATTAATGATGATGAAGTAGATTCTATGTTATTGGAAAATTTGTGGTATCATTGTGTCGTGTTAAATCTTAGAGCTTTCGCGTGTGATTTATTATTTGTGATGGTTTTAAACGAGTTTTTGGTGTCGATATGATAAATTAGTTGATGATTGGTTACTATTTTTGGGTAATTATTAAATTTAAGATTTTTTCATATTCATAATGATGCGGTGTGAACTATACAGAAACAAATTAGTTAGTTAGCACATTTTTAAAATAGGTCCCAAAGTAACCGCATAAGAATCACACTTCTCTAATTTCATTTTTTATTACTTTAATTTTTAACCACTTCACTTCCACTGAACTTGGCTCTGAAGGACTCACCAGCTTCATCATGATGTCCTTCCGTGTCCGCGATCCGTTTGATACTGTGACCGCAAGGGGTCGCCCTACATTTATATAGCGAATATCCTTGCGCGCACGCATCTCGATTCGCACATCCCAGGCTTGTGATACAATGACCTCACTTTTAGATCATTAAAGGCTTGTCCTTTTAAAATATGTTTCTTAACTCTACATATGTGCCAAAAAAGGACATTTGTGATGTTAAGATTATCATTATCGTAGTTTTTTATCCCTATTTTCATGTTATTTGAGTTTATGTTTAAACTAAGTACTTACATCTCGTTAAATTTTGCCTTTTATACTACTAATAAATTACAAAGCCCGAAACCCTTTCCATAGACCAGTGCCCATCACGGGAACGTGCATGGAATCATAATGAAAGAATTACACGCTCAAGTTACTATACAGGTTAATACAAAAAGGTACGTCTATATTTCAGGTAGAGTGGTGGTACTCGGTTTGGTTACATCCTGTAGGTACTTTATAAACATTTTTAGTTTTATAATGAATCAATACATCGTAAACTTAGGCAATGCCAAGAGGCAGTATAAATATGAATGGGCGAGTAACGTAGGTGTATGGTTTTATTTGTACTTTGTTTAACAAGTACTCGGGTCAAGCAAATGAGAATTGGTCTAATTCTTTTTAGAGGACCATCATACTGCAAAGCGGCAATGAATCATAAGTCAATACATGTAAAATATTCGTTATTATTCTTCAAATAGAGTTTGACGTTGAAAATGATAACAAACAATAATGATATTATATAATAAATATTTGTAACAAGTCACCATTTTGGAATTATTAGGCGTTCATTATTATCGATGTTTATTCGACCACTTTTCGGATCAGAAACGAAACATTTTGCAAAATTAGATTTTGTAACCATTCTACAGCATCCCCGAGTCATCGCATTCCTTAGATAGCGCAATAAATGACTGTCATATTTAGGCGGTTTAAAATTAAACTGATTAGGTCTTAACTTTCTTTCTTAAAAAATGCTTAATAAAGATTACTCAGGTAATATTAATATTTAATTAAAGTACGAAGTTGCCGTTATAAGTTTTGGCCACTTTGATGTGAAATAAAGACTTTGATGTAAGATTCTGAATTTAGAATAAAAAATTTTTAGTTGTCCATTTGTTTTAGTTTTAGATAATTTTGCATTGGCTTTGAAACCAATGACGCTATGATATGCTGCTAATATTCGAGCAATTAGTAAGTTTGGCACAATGAGGCTACATTTAGTCATATGTCTTAAAAATAATACGAACGACATGAAACAAATGATATATGTTATGTGAAATTTTATAACTCTCCTATTTGAGCATAATCAGTACAGAGTACTAAAAAGGCGACCTCAAAAGTCATTCATCCCCTAGTTTGCCACCTTTGGCGGTGGAATATTTTCTTTAAATGTAAATGGAACCACTACTGAGGTCCCTCTTTCCAGCAAAAAAAGAATCATCAAAATCGGTTCACAAATGCCTGAGTTATCGCGTAACATACATACAAATAACATATCGTCGAATTGAGAACCTCCTCCTTTTTGCGAAGAGAATCTTCTTAAAACGTCGCTCCTGAAAACCTGTAATTTTACAGGTATGGTCTTATTACACTAAGGGTGCGAATTTTTAAATACCGACGAATTCTAACGTTTTACTAGTCAGCGCGAACGACTCGAAACATTAACAAGTGGATACAACTATCGAACGCGTTGTGTGTTTTTGATTTGCTCGATTTCGCAGTGGCGAATGAGCTTGTGGGCGACCCGAGCCTAAAGTTATATCATTAAATAATTTATTTCTTTGTCATACAAGGTTATAAAGTTTTTAGAAGAAAGAATTTTGAATCACTGTGCTTGTGGCATACAAAGTCTTCTTAGTAGTAGGAAATGTAAATTTTATTACAAATTTTCAATATTGTATAATGTCATATCATTCAGGTAATTAAATAATAATTTCTTAAATTCTGCACAATCATTGCAATTACTAATATCTCAAGTCCTTCAGCGTCATCCCGCCTTTTTAACACTCTACGTACTGATTCCTGACCACTTACGTTACACATTTTGTATCCTTCTAGAATTCTTTTTTCTTTTTATTATTACGTCGATTCGTCGTCATTCCCATCAAAATTCTGGAAACGAGAGGACGTGCCCATAAATCATCACCTTCATTTATTTCTAAACTTCACGTCGTTTACTATTAAAATAATATAGATATATAGGCCCTTTTAGGGTGAGTGCTGTGTATTTTGTTTAGTCTTGTAAAGATAGTATTTTATATTAATATTTATAGTATTTTCGCATATCATTTTATTTTGTTACAATCTTCTTTACCTCTTTTTACAATACATTATGTGAACCGAGCTTTCTGCATTCCCATTTTGCAAAGGCTACACAGTTGATCTCTATTGTAAACAAATACGGACGATGATGGTAAGAATCGCAGAGAAATAATCACGGCTAGCTAACCAATTTTCATTGCTAGTTCTACACGTTAATGCAAGAGTGCTTAGGTCCTGCTGAATAAACCATCTCTTTTTGACACGAGTTGAGTTTAATTTAATATTGATGCTCATCTCCAAACTCTAAGCCCTTATGGGCTAACATTTTTTCGCAATTTAGATAAATGTCTACAAGGAAAACAATTTGATTCCCATAAAGTAATCGAAAATGAGTTCCAAGACTTCGTAGATTCCGGTTCGCCATTATGAAGAAATAAATGGGCTTCCAGCAAGATGACAAAAGCTCAGTGATAATAGAGGTATGTACACACGCCAGCACATCAAGCTACACATTGGCGTATCTTGTTCCGTTGCACTGGAGACGATTTTCGAACAAAAATGTGTAATCTGATGTACCGTTGTCCGTACATATTATGACGAAATAAATAATTTTGTAGAACGTTTTGGATTTTCTTTTAAATAGCTATAATTTCAAGTGAATATTTTGAAAATCGTGTAAAACTTTTAAATATCCTATAAAAAAAATCTAGTTTCAAAAAGTCTGTGAGATAAAATTTTAAATATCATGCTTTTTAGGACTTGGACTTTTTAAAATATACACCTCTGGGGTCACAAAGTACAATGCTCTTAACAGTACCATGAGTCATTGTTAAGTTTCTGTTTTAAAATATTTCTAGGTTTATTTAAAACACTACTATATTTTAAACCACAGAATGAGATATGCGAATTGCAATGTATCATGCAACACATATACATATTATATAGAGAAATTACAGAACAAAATAGAAAACCCTAAAAAAGTTACGAAAACCCTTTACTCTAAAAGTATATGAACATGGGATCATGATTTTGTGTTTTTTTATAATTTCTTTTATTTTACCATTTTTTAGGTTCTTCCCACCAATACTAGCAATTTTTACTATGGAGACCAGGCAAAAATATTAACTGAATATTTCTTTCTGAACTTTTCAGACAGCAAAAGTTCTTTCCATTGACAGAATCATATCTCAATATATCATCTGTAGCGGATTGTATCAATGGTTTCAGGTGGGTGCTATCAAAGACTGAGTAAGATCAAAGTATATGTAATTACAGTTTATTACAAAACAACGCACCGCTACCAATCAAAACAATAGTGGCAATAATAAGAAAAGGCGCGAAAAACAAATACATTTAAATATAAAACTAAACTTAAAAAGACTATAAAATGTATACACAAAAGGAATTTGTAGCGACTGCTGCGATTCGCTACATCATCCTTGCCTTCTTCATTACCCATGGTTCATAGCCAGCTCCGTGACCTCTATATAGCTGCTCACTTTGATGTTCTTCTTTATTTGGTCACCGTAGGCCATTCTTAATCTTCCTCTCTTTCTTATTCCTTCTATCTTCACCTCAATTGCAACTCTGGTAAATTCGTCAGTACGTAACCAAATTTCCAGACAGTATATTCTTAATACATTGAAATATAAAAAAAAAATTTCGCCCTCCAGCAGACTTTCAATCAACGGCTATATTGGCCAAAAAATTAAACCAGAACTATTAAACGAACAGTTTGTTTCTCGTATATCTGTTGGGAGTTCGATGATTACGGGCATGTTGAAGTTAGAATTATTTATTGCTAACAAGCCCACTATTATTTTGGATCCCAAAATGACGGTGTTGATATTGACAATTACCAGCAATTCCATTTTGTCAATAGAAATTAGTTTTTTTCCCATATGTCATCCCTACGTTCATTTATTTGCAAGTCATATTTCCACGAATGAAAAAATTGTATAAACGATAAAAGTTTATAACTGTCACGCATACGCCTTTTGTTAACTAAAAAAAACATGCGTTATTTAGGTTTTTTTTCCAAGTATCTTTCTTTAAAGATATTCTTAAGCAAATCACAATCTTAAAGTTTTCGCACGTGACTGCTAAGTGCGGCTACTGTACAAAAGTTGTGTAGTTCCTTTGTACTCTAGGTTTTTATCCTGGATATTCACTTGTGAGGTTTATGTTCTCCAACAGGGTACAGGTTTCTTTTAAGGAGAGAGTTTAAATATTTTTAAGCAATTTTCTATACTGGCCTAATGCGGTTCTTGTATCTGCACCAGATTGCAATGTTTTTGCAAGTAGGTGGGTGGCTGTGTGTGGTGAACGTTTGAGGTTTTGTGAAAGGATGGATGACCGTCTGTCTTCTGTGAATTACTAATATTGTACTGTAATGCTGTCTAACTATGTGGTAAATATGTGAATAAAAAATATTATTTTTATAATAAAGTTGTAATATATGTACCGAATAAATCGTTACAGGAGATTCACTAGTGTAATTCCTGGTTACAAATAGGACAAATAAATGTTATCCGTGAAAGACATTGAAAGCAAAGAGATGTGTCTAGAAAACAAATCTGTGTAAAAAAATATCAATAAAAGTAGTTTTTTTACAAGTTGTGCACCTGATGATAAGCGACACGCCTATCCATAACAGTTGCAGTGCCACTCATAGATTTAAATCGCAAAGATCTGAGGGACACTGCCACTGCGCCCGTCAT